TATGTTTTGCCCCCCCCCCCCCCAAAAAAAAGTACAAAGCTTTGATCATGAAACTAAGCATTTAAATATCACCTTACTATAACATATTATTGGGAGATACATAATGACAACAACTGATATTCATATGCATTTTATGTATTATGTTAAGTAGTTATAAAGATCTCATATTACAAGCTATCAGAATTTCATTTTACTTTTTGGCCATATAAATGACAACATCTGCATCAAATTGGATATCTTGTTGAGTTTTTTTATAATAATTATATGAGCAATATCACACGAGTAGCAGTGTGATATGGTTGTATATCAGCACTGCTGTGATTCGGCCATGGGTAATCACAGCATGCTGATAAACAGCCATAATGCACGGCTACGAGAATGTCCGCTGAGGAAAGCGATATCTTTGTCGTATTATCTTTCATCTGTTAAGGGTGATTTCCGAATGACAGCGCTGCTCAGTGTATTTGTTGGCTGTGTGGAAAATAAAAATAACTTCTTGTTTACAACCCTGTTTCAGTCTCTTTCAATATAAACGTCTTTACTGCTGACCCACTCATAAAAACAGTCTCTTGTCGCCATCTAATGGCAGAATAATGTAACTAAAATCACCATCACGAACAAACACACCATTTCCCAATATTAACTACTATTATTAAACACTACTATTATTTATATAATATATTATTTATTGAATAATAATATTTAATAAACAATAACAACAGCCATCATAAAAGTTGCTTGGCAATTCAGTCAAAAGTACAAAGGCAGTGCTCTGATATACAGCATTAGTAATATAAAATTTTGCGTTATGAGATTTTGCCCTCAGCCAAAACTATTTTCTCTGGAACAAATAATAGATTAATGGGACCAAAGATGGCCCATTAGATTTACCCAGAATTAATTATATCTCATGTTTATCCACTATAGAGATATCAGAGCCAGCGGTAAATCCCAGAAGAACTGGCTGAGGTAAGGCTGTTCTCGGCGGGTTCATGAGCGCTGAATGGCTGCTGGAGCTCACATCTCCAAAAACGTTGAAGCAAATTTTCAAATAGACGTTATCTTTATTAACAAACTGCTTATTTGAAGTCTAAACAAGTACATTCTCGCCTAAAAATCTCTAAAAAAAACTGTGACACAAAAACAGTATTATTTGTAAACATTTTAGTGGATTTGGGCGTCTGCCACGACACTCACTATGAGAAACACTGCTAGCGGACTGATACAAACGGTGAAATGGTTGGAGTTCCGATAACACTAGAATATCGCACCGCTGCAAAAGGCTCTCAGCCAATCAGATTGAAGGACCAGAAAGAACTGTTTTTTCCTTCTTGAGTGTGAGCTCCATATTCTCCTATATCATACAATATGAACTATAAAAGATGTGCCTGATGTACCTCATTTTAAACTCAAAAACACATATGTAAACTTTTTTGTTTAGACTTTGTCTAAAGGTTTAATAAATGGTTCCATTAAAAAAAAACAGTTTAAAGTCAGACTTTACAGGGTTAAAGTTGGAAATGGCCTTTGAAAACATGTGCTAGCATGAAGATCTTAGAAGACCTTTCTCTACATTTATTTCATACATAATATTTTGTATTAATACAAATAATGACTTTTTTCCCCCCTAATACAAAGCTACTGTATGGCACCAGAACCTTTTGAATAAAGTGAATGAGTCTTATGGGTCTTATATCATGCTTTTTGTCTTCTTTTGGAGTTTTTATGATAAAATTGAAATGCTTCAACATCGTTTTTTGTGTCCACGGAAGCTATAAAGTCATGCAGCATTGGAGCAACTTCTTTAAGAAAACAAATATTTAAAATGGATCAATAAAAGCTCCAAAATAGGCAGGTTGTGTTGGTCCACGTCAGATCTCATTGTCAATGTAAATGTCCAGTAGAGCATTCACACTTCTGTTGTCCTCTCTAATCCTTTCATACGGGCTACTACACCGTCTGTCCTTCTGAGCTTCTCATGTCTGTCTGCGTCTGGCTTTGAACTGGGAACAATACAGCCTATAAAGAAATCTAAACTGAGAGCTTTAGATCAGAGAAACACTGAAAAATTAACTGGAGCGGAAAAAAAAATGTCCGAACTGTCTCTCTATTGACTGATGAATATGTCAAAAACAATATAAACATACAAAATAGACATATTGCATGTATTTTACAGCAAATGTTTGCTTAATCTGGTGCTTTGTGTTCCAAAAAGTGCTGTGTGAATTCCAAAACATTGCTGTGTGAATTTTGCTTGAAATAACTATAAATAACATATCATAACATAAATATCCTACATACATTTTAACTCTTAAATCTTCTTACAGTAGGTTCATTGTATTGTGAACAAATACAGCAGCTTCCTAAGCAAAAAATATATTTACTTCAAAAAAGTTTAGCTTTTGTTTACAGTTTGTCTGTAATTAGTCTATAGTCTATAATCAGCTTTACATAAAAACAATAGAAGTCTATGGTATGTCATTTAGATCTGTGGGTTTGTGTGTGTGTGTGTGTGTGTGTGTGCCAGTCTCTCTCTTTGGCATCCCTGTGTTTGACTGGTATGATTGAGGTGAGCAGTTGAAAAGAGAGCCCCGTCAACAAACTGTTATTACCTCGATAAGGACGAGAAAATCGATGGGGCGGAGAGGAACAGTGCATGTGTGTGTGTGTGTGTGTGTGTGTGTGTGTGTGTGTGTGTGTGTGTGTGTGTGTTGTGCCGCTGCTGCCAACTTGTGGGGGCATTTGGTCCCCATAACGTGATAAATACCAGGTACACACACACACACACACACATACAAACATGTATATACAATAAGCTCACAGTACATGAGCAAACATACACACTTGTGAAATGAACAGAATAATCTGAACAAGCAAAATATCCTCAAAGCTCCAAACAGAAAATATATGTTGAAAGGGAACTTTTGAAGTTTCCACGATTTTGCCAAGTATCTTCCTAAAACAGCATCATTGCTGGCTCTGGAACACTATTCCCATCAAACAATCAAATTTTATATAAAGGTGGTTGTCTAGAGAAAGACTCTGACAGGTTGATTCTCATCAATGTATCATTTCCTCAATATTAACTCATAAAAATAATATAATACTAACCTAATAGCTCAATAACCTAAATATAATATAATATAATATAATATAATATAATATAATATATTAACTTTCATTCATAATGACTAAAATTATTTCTCTAATGCCTAAAGGATAAAAGTGTCAAAGCATAAGGAAATAATCGTAGTAAATATATGCATAATATATTAAAAATAAAAAAAATAATAAATTGGCACATTCCAAATTGAAGTTGTGTGAAAAAATTTAAATAATATAATATAATATAATATAAACATATTAATCAAATGATGCAGATGTAATAAAAAAATTAATAGCAACATTTACTGAAAGGGTATTTAATTACAAGATTATATTATATTATATTATTATAAGACTTAAATCAAAATGCCAGAATGTTGCTTTAGTTCAAACCTCAGGCCTAAGCTGAGGTCTAACCCTAAATCCTAAAAAAAAAAAAATAATAATAAAATTATCAATGAGAATGTTGTTCCAGAACCAACAAGAAAGTTGATCCAGGAACACGCTGTACTTGGTGAAATCTAATCCAGTGTTTTCTGACACCTGACCTATTCCCGGTATAACTGAGATTTGAACTGTGAATCACAATGATTGAACAAAGAATGTTTTATGTCATATTCCTAGAGCTCCAGCACAACAAATGCAAACCAAATAACTCCTCTCACTGTGACGCTAGCTAATTTGGAGTATTTACACAATTAAACAACATGGTTTCATTAAGACCAAATTTCCCCAACCTGAAAAACAGATAAAGCACTATACAGAGTACCTCTTCACTCAGAGGATCCATTTACAAAAAAACACAACACATGCAAACATGGCTCTGTATACATGTAGAAGTAATACTGCAAGACAGGTTTTTTTTTTTCTTTTTCATGATGCAACTCTTTCTGTCCTTTTGCAACAGACTCTAATGTTCACCCAAGCAGAATTATTACCATATGAGTTTCATCACCAAGACAATGATGATATAACACAGGCCGGCCCACCATCCGATTCCTTCATAAGTGAGACTCATTCCTTTGATGTTATAACTAATGCTGTAGCACTCTTTCTAACTCAAGGAAAGAGGATCTGGAAGCACTTAATAGTGATAGAGGAATGTCAGATGAAATGCATACAGCTGTATAATGATTCATGATTCAGCCCACACAACATGGATTCTTGATAAACCTGTTAGTTCAATGGAGTCGTGCAATTAAGCCTCTATTTATGTATTTCAATATAACATAGAGATTCACATAAACTATATAAAACTATTATACATAAAATAAATATATAAACTTACATTAAAAAATATATATATATATATTTTATGTAAAATAAAAACAATTAAATAATGCTGAAAAAAAAACTCAAAAGAATTTGTGGTATGCACATTTCCAAAGAAATTTTTTATTTTATAGTTGTTTAATTGTTCAAAAATATTGTTAAAATTATGACGATTTTTTTAATGAATGGAAACATTTTCCCTTCAGTCCAGACAATTACTGCATTTTCTGTCTGTTGCTGAACAAACACCTCATTTCAACAGCACATTTCCATTGATGCTTCTTTAACTCTTTTTGACCCTATTGTTGGAAATAGTGGAAATTCATTTTCGTACCTTTGGCAAGCGTTCAGGGTCTCCTGGATGCCGAGGTATCACCTTCTGTAACCGCTGAAAACCGTAGTCTATGGTAGGTTCATTCAAAGCTGTGGACACAAACAAAAGAGACAAATCCATCATTTTTATGTAATTTTAGAAGACTGGTAAGGTGTGCTTTTTCCTTTTGATATGTTGCAAAGAATAAAAAGCTTTGCATATTTTTTGGAACAAAATTGAACATGGACATTTAGTTGTTGTAAATTGTCTTTTTTTTTTCTAAATATACACAAAATTCACTCCAACCTAGAGTAATAACTGCAGAAAGTGCAATATTAACATGTACAACCGTTCTAATGGAAGTCATTTTGAATTATTGGGCATTCTTATGCCCATGTTAAGTGCAGCAAGTGCGTATAGCATGTAATCGTAGGACGTTTATGTTTTACGTTTCACACAGCAATTACTTTGCATAAAGTCTCTATGCTGTCAAAAACACGAAAGCCTGTCTTTCAATCTGAGCGAGGGATGAGATGGAGGACAGGAGAGATATTAACACCATTTGCTCCTGTAATGGACAGAAAATGGATGTAGAAGATCTTTTCATGTTGGCACTTTGTAAAGTGCCACCGTTTTGAGATCCTGCTTAAAAGTAGGGGACCAAACACAACCTCCTAATGGCATTAGCATTCAAGTCAGTTCTGTTCTAACCAACTCAGACAAACTACATTTTCAAAAGAGGCAGCAAAAAAAAAAAAAAGATACAGATATAATATAATGTAGCAAAATATTATATTATATTTGATATGATATGATATGATATATGATATATTAATTTCTTAAATACTTTGCTAAATCTAATAAATTAGCAAAACTTACTTTTTCACTGTGCAAAGTATTTAACAAAGTGTGGAACATTACATAAAATGTTATACGAGTCTTCCTATATCCATCTTATATTCATAACAGTCTGCGTTTTACAGGTGCCAAGTTGTTTGCTGTCATCTGTGTTTTGGTTAGCATGTGGTTCAGTGTTCATGGGATCCAAAAATGGCATCCGATTAAGCCCAAAATATGAACATGTATTGCAAAACGTTCATACATAACATGGCCCCAACATAACTGGTCCCAAGGCTGTTGAAGGATGGACGTGTGAGAAGAAAGAGAGAAAAGAGGAAGAGAGAGTGGTTTGGACAGTTTGAGTGTGAGGGAGTGTTAGGGGTTGCTGGGGCATGAAACATAGGTACTTTCCTGTCAGTTGGAGCAGATGGTTAAGATACTGTAAATTCTGTTTAAGTTATATTGAAGTTAGTGCCTGGCAATTAAGAACATATAGGTTAATGATAGTATAAGTGCTGCTGTTCACAGTTATTACCGCAATAAATGACCTTTCATTATACAGTTCGTTGGAAATGTTGGTTGATAATATTTAATTAGTTTAAAAGCCTGTCTGGACGAAGGAGAAAGAAAACTGGCGTGTGCATGGATTCCTGTGTGTGGGGGCATCTGTTAATAAAGTAATATGGAGATGGATGAGTCACTGCACTCACAAACACATTCACATGCTTGTATGTGTCAGGAGTACTTCACTCCTTTCTTATGGCCATTGATTTCTACATTGTAGCCAATCCTCTCACTCAGGCTGGGGAAAACATTCACTTACCGAGAAACCCAGAGGTCGACAGAGAGGCAGAGAGAGAGAGAGAGAGAGAGGTGCGGGGACAAAGGAGTTCTCAGGACGTGTGGGGAAAGATAAACCATTAGGATTTGTCTTAATGAATTGACCATAATTTATCTTGGCATCATGCTCAATGAAATAAGCCTTCAAACATATTTTTGCATCTAATCCAATGACATTCATACATTTTTAAGTGTGATTTTACATTTTTAAGTTGTGCATTCAAATGCTTTTTGTGGGCAACTGTCATGCAATGTATTTGTGGTTTAATGTACATTAACAGTAACCAGCGACAGTATATTAGAATAACATAACATAACATAACATAACCCATTTTGTAATAAACTATATTAACAATAGCAACAATGACATGTTGATCATGACATATATTATTATATTATATTATATTTGTTAAATACTTTATTCAATAGAAATACCTTATTAATCAAGTAAGGCATGTAATAAATAAAAAAAACAATAACAACGATTGTTATTAATTAAGTTATTAATAAGTTAATTAATAAACGCTAATTATATGATTTCATAATGTACATTATATTATAATTTATTTTATATTATATTATATTCATCAAATTATGCATTAATAAATTAATATCATGAATTTTTAAATGTAAATTTTCAACTTGTGGGGCCACTGTGTGCCTGAAAAAGAAAACAAAACAAAATAGAAAGAAAGAAAGAAAGAAAGAAAGAAAGAAAGAAAGAAAGAATGAATGAATGAATGAATGAATGAATGTGAGTATGAACTGATGCATGTAATTAATAAAAACTGTGTCACTAAATACATACATACATATATATACATACAATGGCAATCATGTGCGTTCTTAAACCACAGTATTTCTGGAGTACCGTTCCAAAGCCCTTTTGAAAAAGAACCATACTAAGCCAAACTGTGTTTTTGAAGAAGCTGTTTCTTATGAAAGAACCTTTCGTCCACTTTCAACACAGGCTGATACTGCGGGTCATTGTGTCCCTCAAGAGAATATGAGTTTCCAATTTGATATACTTTTTGATTTGGTCACCACATCCTCTAACCCTCACTTAAAAGAACACAGAGATATCAAAGACAGTGAGACATATAAAGTCAATTTCTATAGAGGAAATAATCCTTCAAGGGTCTAACTAGGGACAAACTCGAAGTTCTCAGAAGGAGAATGAAGCCATTCAACTATTTCAATATCTCTACTGTACGAAAAGTTCTCTTCCCGAAATGGGGAAGTGGGCTTGTTGTTGGCCTAACTTTTCACTGTAGCCGAGTTCAGTATTCACTACATGTGAAACAAGCGCTAACCACACGGTAAGTATTTATAGCTTGGCCTAACTCCACTTCTTCAAACTGTTTTATTGTTTTCCTCGTATTAATACCACATGGCATCAATTTGCACAGGGATGTTGGTTTATAGCTCTCCCTTGGTAGCTTTAGCGGTTAAATGGCCAAATATAGCCTAAGCGAGAGAAGTATCTAACTGTGCTACCAGCTAATTTAGCGTCCCAAAATGTTTCAGAAGGGAGTTGTTAAAAGAATATCAGTATGAACTGTGGAATGGCGTGCTAGCATGGTGATGGCAAACAATCTAATGCATCTATATCATACATTGACATGATACTAGCTCAAGGACATGGAAATCCATAGGTTAATGGCTGCTTGGTCTAATTTATCCCAGCTTAACAGATTTGTAAGAAATTTGGTAATTGTTTTGGTTAAATTCAGTTAACCAAACAGAGAATATCTTGAGCCCACAAAGAGTGAATAGTGCCACTGCCGCAACATCTGTGAGAAAACGATTGGCTGATACTGTCATACTGATATGACTAGAACATCATTGACAATAAATTAATGAGCACCATATACCCCACCCTGTGCGTATCACTTATTTCTATCCCTCGCTCTCCGTGAAGAATCTCTTGCAATCACAGAGATCAATTCTTATTGAAATTTCATGAGGGCAGATCCAGGCCTCATCATATTTCACTATAATGACCCGGAGGAGAGAATGTTGTGAGTAGAGGGATGGGGAGGAAAGAGGAGACAGGGAAGCATGAAGTAAGTCCTCAATTAATTTGAACATAGTAAAGTGGCATGATGGGTAGTAGTTCGGTACATAATTGCTTATTGCAAATACTTTCACTCTACAATCAAGCCCAACCCACACAAAATCCAATAGATTCATTAGATTAATTGATTCAATAGACTTTAAATGTGATTTGTGAATGCATGTGAGAATTGCTTGTTTGTCCATTGAGTCGTAGCCTTACTTCCCATGTTTAGATCCATTTTATAACATTTTTTAAAACATTCAAATGTCTTTTGAAAGTCTTGAAAATAAAATGATGAATCTAATCTAATTAAACACATCAAACAAAGTAAATCTAATTAAAGAATCAAATATATAACAGAATCAATTGTATTGTAGAACCAGTGTTTGATCTAATTCAACGTTATTGAGTCAAAGCAAATTAAACAGGTCTATAATAAAATCAATTCTATTCTAGAACCTGTTTTAGGATCAAATCAAACAAATCGAATCTAGCTAAATAAAAGCAAATTGAACATTATTGAATCAAAGTAAATTAATCAAATACATAACAAAATCAATTCCATTCAAGAGCCACCAGGCCAGGGGCTCTAGCAGCACTAACATGGTATACTGTAGATTATAAAACGGATAGTTCCGGTCCTTGATTCTGATTTATAATGACCCGGAGGAGAGAATGTTGTGAGTAGAGGGATGGGGAGGAAAGAGGAGACAGGGAAGCATGAAGTAAGTCCTCAATTAATTTGAACATAGTAAAGTGGCATGATGGGTAGTAGTTCGGTACATAATTGCTTATTGCAAATACTTTCACTCTACAATCAAGCCCAACCCACACAAAATCCAATAGATTCATTAGATTAATTGATTCAATAGACTTTAAATGTGATTTGTGAATGCATGTGAGAATTGCTTGTTTGTCCATTGAGTCGTAGCCTTACTTCCCATGTTTAGATCCATTTTATAACATTTTTTAAAACATTCAAATGTCTTTTGAAAGTCTTGAAAATAAAATGATGAATCTAATCTAATTAAACACATCAAACAAAGTAAATCTAATTAAAGAATCAAATATATAACAGAATCAATTGTATTGTAGAACCAGTGTTTGATCTAATTCAACGTTATTGAGTCAAAGCAAATTAAACAGGTCTATAATAAAATCAATTCTATTCTAGAACCTGTTTTAGGATCAAATCAAACAAATCGAATCTAGCTAAATAAAAGCAAATTGAACATTATTGAATCAAAGTAAATTAATCAAATACATAACAAAATCAATTCCATTCAAGAGCCACCAGGCCAGGGGCTCTAGCAGCACTAACATGGTATACTGTAGATTATAAAACGGATAGTTCCGGTCCTTGATTCTGAT